GCCTTTGCTTCTCCAGATTAAGAAGTCACAGCTGCAATGGCTTGGGCATGTGTTGCGAATGCCTCCAGAAGGGAAGGTTAAGCAACTGTTCCTTGCAAATCCGACCGGCAAAAGGCCCAGGAGACGGCCAAGATTATCCTGGTGCAAGTATATGGAAGGAGTCTGCTTCAGACTGCATTTGTCTTTTGCCGAAGCTCAGACTCTGACACAGGATCGGGATCGTTGGAAGCACTGTCTGACGCCTCTGCTCCTGCGACCCGAAAGGAGAAGCGGCGATGGAAGATTGGCATCTTTAGTCATTAAACAGTAGTTACATTTGTATATGAGACGAACAAACAGTATGTATTGTGAAGGTACCAAGGTCTTCGGATTCGATAATTGGCAGCAGGAGAAGCAAAAGTTTTATTTGCAAGAATTATCTTTCGACCGAATTGGCATAGGTAATCTTCAGGGGGTTTCGTACCATACTTATAAGAAATGTGTCAAACGCTTGTTAAAGGTCTGAAAACTAAATTTCTTTAAGTAAATGGATGATCACCTTATCAGGATCACAAAATGAAAAGATTCTGATATCAACATCAAATACTGAGCGATTAGGAACTATTTTTCGATCCAATAAAGCATACAAGCGACGACTTGGTCTGTTCACTTTTACTGATAGGTACTCTCGTTTCAGTGATTATCTTGCAAGAAGTTACATATTCTATTCGCCAATTTGAATACTGCCACCTGCGTTTTTAGAGGTATTTTTTTAAAATCAAAAACCTTTCTTTAATTAAAATATTTTATTTGGACCTCCTCTCTATTTCCGTCCTTTCCTTTCTTTTAATGGCTAAATACAGTTCTTCATTTCTTAGCTCACTGCCATTGTTCTAAACAGAACACCTTCAACATCCCTTTAATCAGTCTGACTAAATCCAATTTCTCCTGATAGCTCCTCTACCCTATGCTGAATTTCATTTCACTGATTCATTCATGAGTTCTTCAATGTATGAAACACTACAAAACCACCGAAACGCCAGTTGATGGCCGCATGACTATTGTGCCTTTGGGCCGCAGAGACGGACAATATCATCAAAGTTTATGACTCGGAACCCGCATCTGAGCTTCGGCCGAGGAAAATCCGATACTGGAACGGAAAATATGCAGAAATTAGTACCAAATCATTCTGCGATCGATCAAGCAGTAGCTGTTTCACCTGCCTTTCTGGAAGGATTCGCATAACTTACAACCAAACCGTCGTTGCCGTAACTTTTCGAAAGCAGCGGATCTACCTTAAGGCAATGTCGGATTACTGAACTTTTGACCCTGCGGCGAACTCACCGAATTGTACCAGAAAAATATTTCAGTGGCTTGTACAGAGGATCGCAATATTTCAGTGATATCCATGACTCGAAACTATACAAGAACCTACGGGTAAACACTGACTTGAACACAAATAAGTTCTTCTTAATCACATCGTTTCGGAGTAGTTGACAGGGAGCGCAGTCGACCATTCTGATTCATTTGTTCCCATGCTCAGATTTTTTTTCCGGGAGGGCGATCGACACATTACGCTTATTATATGGCCGTAGATTTGCTAAATGGCTACCTTTAAAATAAGGAACTCCTGACTGATGCCACAGAAACAGGGATCAGCACAACATCATCAATTTCATGATCGCCTGGCCATGAAAGTGAAATCAGACAAATATTCCAACAGTAATACAATTTCCTTGCTTTTTCTATCGACCGACAAAAACCGAGTTTCATGAAAATACAATTTGAAAATTATTTCACAACTGTGTACACATGACTTTGGTTAAGCATGGAGGTTTGGTATGATTTCACTCCATAACGTGAGAAAAATTTCATTGCTTTCTTCGAAAAAGGGTAAACGTGCTAAGAAATATAACTGACATTGAGGAGCGGTTAACTTAGCACACGGAACAAATTGATAAAACGAAAATAAAACAACGGGCTGCCAGCTGATTAGCGAGGTGCTGCAGATACAAAATGTTTTCACGATTGAGTAGAGGTGGTGAGTACAACTCGTTCATACTGTACGTTACAAAAATGAGGCTCGGAGTGATAAGAGTAACGAAAACGGAGTGCGCCATAATGCATCAGTTGTTCGCCGCATTAAGGCACGATCGTTCGCAGAAACTTGCCCGTTTGGCCAACCAAGCTGACGTCGATCCGTGAGATGTCAAGGATTGCTTTCAGGTGGTCGATCACGTCGAAAGCCATCTCCTGAGCCATGCTGTTGACGACATGCTGCGAATTGTTGTACATGACGGCGTTCGCGAACATCAGATGCAGCATGTGCAAAAACTCGTCGGTCGTTTTTATTTTAAAAGAGTCTATGTCTTTTTTGATCGAGGTCATATTAATAGGCCTAAAGTGAAAAAAACAGTGTAAAAAATTTGAAACAGTCACACAAACCGGCACCTATGTAAAGTCAAATTCCGCAAACCACTACGCAACATGAATTGTGTCGAAGTTGGATTTTACCTACTCTCACTTGTTAATCACACCCTGTTGCATAAGTGTTTCCCGTACGTGCAAACTGT